AACATTTTTGCTCGTATATTGATATTATGGATTAGTAAAATGTATCTCAGAAACAACTCAGTTACTCCGTTTTGTAGAAAAAACATTTCTGCATCTTTTGAAATGTCTCCAAGATCAAACTAACAAAACAACTGCAGAGGAAAATCCAAAATACTAAGAGCACCGTAAAAAAAAACGATTTTTTTTCATCAACTGCCTGAGGGAGGGTTACTTGTGGGTTTTGCCATTTTTCACAAGTAAGTCAGAAAGAGCTGATATTTTGGATTTAGAGGTTTCGAATGATGATCTATCGTTTGAGATATTTAAATCGAAAATCAAAATTTTAGCGGCGGCCGACTTGGTAGGTGCTCTGGCGGACTCTCTCTTAAACCACCTGGTGAGACTGGTTAAGCTCAGTCGAAGCGCGCTGCGGTTGCTTTAATGACACCGACACCTTTGGTTGAAAAACTCACCACACTTTACATGCATAAAATCATTAAAATAACACACAGGACCCTTCGTATTGAATTTGATCAGCTTTCAAACAAAAGTAAACAACTATTTAAGATGAACTCATTTCTATGGCGCTTCCAAAAGTGCAACCAGTTGATTATTTCATCCCGGTTATTTCCGATCATTAGTAACTTTATTGTGGGTACCCCTTTCGCTTTATTTTCGATCTCTAAGCACTCCTCTTTCTCATGTTTGTCTCAATTTTGTTCACATATACAATTAATATTAAAAAATCTTTCTACTAATAATATAACCATTATGTTACATTATCTATATTGACATTGTGCTTAATTATACTAAGTCTATTCGATAGTTTCTTTTTGTAGGATACCTAAATTTAAGAATCTTAGTTTAAATACAAATCCTATGTTTTATTTGATTATGATATCATCAACATGACAACTGCTCCGAGAATTCCAAGTTCTTCGTAATGCTGAATCTCTGTTTCATATTCCGTGTAAACCACGAAATCTAATATAAATTTAGTACGATAATCACAGAGAATAAATATTTTTATTCCAAATCTGTGTTGTTTCAATGGAATGCATTTTTTGAAATTCAGGGGTCCTTTGCAAAGCGTCAAACCTACTTCAATAATTTAATTAAAGTTTCAGTTATTACACTAACGCAAACTGCTGTTGTTCAAATACTGACATGTATTGAGAAATGCGTTTGAAGAGAAGAAGCTTGAATCATTCGTTTCTTCACTCACCATATATGCGCGTGTTTGATTACAAACACCGAGGGCACAGTTCACATGAGTCAACGCTCTTTTTTTGTCATTGATCTGTTGTATATGGATATAGTACCCTATCTTATAATAACGTGCAGAGGTGATTAGGGACAGTTTTTTTTATCTCATTCTGTATGAAACAGATAAAGGATTGACGGTTTATTACTACATTCACTTCGTTTGTAAAGTAATTTTTAGATAGTAAGGTAAACAGTAGTATTTTTTGGAGTAGAAAAAAGGTTAGGGATGTGGACATTCTGTGCGGGAATTACCAAAATGATGCAATGTATCACATGGGTTTGCCAATCTGGAGAGTATAGTTCGTACATGGGTCAAACAAAAGAGGTTAGTTTTTCGATTACTGTTGCCTTTATGTGACTACAGCTCTCATGATGATGATGAGACAATAAAATTCTAGAATTACAGACGTAATACAGCCTTACCTTTTTGATTCGACTGATTTATCCTTGAAATATATGTTCTAATAGATATTTTATTTGGGAATAGGTTTCAACTTACTGTACAAAGCGAATTAGAGGAATGACTCCAAGAATGAGGCTTTAACGATATGTTATAAAAACGGTGCTTCAATCGAAATTCCCTAGAGGCTTCATAATGTCGAAGGCATTGTCGCAAAATCTAGAAAAAAAAATTTGGAAAGAAAAACATGTAGGTAGAAGAAAATCTAAAAAACAGAAATGTAGAAGACAATCTAAAAATTCATTAATCTGCCAAAGCTAATTGTGTTCTAACCTTTGCGGCTCAGCCTCTGATATGATCTCGATATATCTTTCCATTATCATTGAATTTTAAAGGGTGTGTGAGGGTGTGTTGTGGTTGTCGGTGTGGGTTTGTAAAATTAACGCTCATACCCACAGCCACACCCATGTTTTATTTTCTCTTTTATAGTTTTTTTCGTGTGTTCTCTCCATAAAATAGAAGTATTTCTATTGTATGAAACTATTATTGACTTTTTTTGGGATTTGAGCTTTTCCAAATGTTTTTTCTAGGTTTATATTTTTCTAAATTTGTCCATTTCTATATTTTTTGTTTTCTAGATTTTGCGGCATATTCATGTCGAAGAGTCAACTTTACATAGTAGCTGTTTAATGTGAAGTAGTTTCTAAAGAAATGTTTTATGACTGTTTCTCAATAAAAAAGCAACATACCTTTGCTTTGTAGATTTCATTGTGTTAAAATAAGAAAACAACCTTTATTCGTCAAACAACTTTAGACCAGATCTTCAAGACACAAACTATGGCGCTCTCGGCAGCTCAACCAAGTCCCTTACCCAACATGGGTGCTAACGTCAACTGCGATGGCAAAGGTGTCAGCTTTCGTGTTTGGGCTCCTCATGCCGACCAGGTTTACGTGGCAGGCAACTTCACAAATCCTATGTGGAACGAAGGTAAAATTCCACTGGCTCGTGAAGGAAATGAGTCAGGTTATTGGTCAGCCCTTGTTCCCGAGGCGAAAGAGCATGATCACTATAAATTTGTCATTTCGTGCAAGGATCAGCCTGATCTCTGGAAACTAGATCCTTACTGCCGTTATAATACGAGCAATGTTGACCGAAAGGACGGTTCGTCTCGTCAGAACGAATGTGTCATTGTCAATCCCGATCTGTTCAGTTGGGACGAGAAAAAATTTACGATGCCTTCGTGGAATGAGCTCGTGATATATGAGTTACATATCGGTACGTTCAGCAATAATGGGAAAACTGCTCAACGATTTCTCGATGCCATCGAGAAATTGGACTATCTAGTTGAACTGGGTATCAATGCTATTGAGATCATGCCTTGTACAGAATTTGAAACGAATACATCGATGGGATACAATCCTGCCCTCTTGTTTGCCATTGAAGGTGACTATGGAAAGGAGCGCGGTGTCCAGCGATTTGTCAACGAGGCTAACCACCGAGGAATTGCTGTCATAGTTGACGTAGTTTACAACCATTTGGGCCCGGATAATTTGAATGATTGTTTCTGGCGTTTTGACGGATGGCACGAAAATATCGATGGTGGCATCTATTTCTATCAGGACGATCGAGCTCAAACCGATTTTGGAGCCACTCGGCCAAACTACGGGCGACCTGAAGTACGGCAAATGTTAAGAGACAATGCCATGATGTGGCTTCATGAATATCATGTCGATGGGCTTCGTTTCGATTCGACTGTTAATATACGGCGATCAACACAAGGTGACTTGCCCGATGGTTGGCAGTTGATGCAATGGATCAATAAAGATAAACGTCCAGAAAATTTTACGATTGCTGAAGATCTCGAGGATAATGAATGGATTACAAAGAAGCTGGAAGATGGAGGTGCCGGCTTTGGTTCTCAATGGGATCCCGGTTTTTACAACGTGATTCGTAATGCCGTTGTACCAATGAACGACGAATCACGATCGATAGCATCTATCCAAGCTGCTCTTAACAAGCGCTACAATGGAGATGCATTTCAACGTGTTATATATTCTGAATCGCACGATGAAGTGACGGAACATTTTGGGATCAAGTTGGGTCGTATGCCTGAGAAAATCTGGCAAGGTAATGCTGATTCTTGGGCTAGTCGAAAACGGTCGACACTAGCCGCTGCCATCGTCTTGACCGCGCCCGGTGTGCCTATGCTCTTTCAGGTATGATGAAAGTTTAAACAGAGTGTTCACTACTTACCTAACTATCAATATCTTATACTTCTGATCATCAGAGATATTTTCCATAAATTAGTAGTTCTTTCAGGCCTTCAATGCTAATTCCTATTCTATTTTTTCCACAAGAAATTGAATTCTAAGAACTTAGATTTTCACATTCCTCACTCAAAAACTGATTGAATGTGTCATGGTACATGTTGCAAGTCCTTTGACTGTATTTTCACAGTTTAACACCATAAGCTAATGAAAAATCTTTAAAATGTCATCTGAGACGCTGTTTTAATCTTACAAAACACGATTACTTAAACATTTGATCAGAAGCGTGAATTTTCAAACGGATTTTAGATGAAAAGTTTTTAAGAAATGCTTTCGCATTGAATGCACCCATCAGCTTGACAAAAGACAGCATATAAAGTTCTACAATTTCGACTGAACGTGAAATTCTCACCTTGCGACATAATTTCTAGTTAGACATAAGAAATTTCGGTCAAAAATATTTTTTGAATCATTTTGTCGATAGCATTGAAAGCTGCAACCGAAAAATTGTGAAAATATTTGCTTTTTAAAAAAGCGCCCTTTGATGATCATAAAGCTAAGTGACATCTTTCCGAAAGTATTTGATTCGATTTCTCGATCTGAAATACATATTCTCTGCAAGTTTTATTTCAACGAAATGATTCCGACCTAGATAAATTGTCAGCTCATGGATCCATTCTATTTTAATTTCTTATGAAGTTTTTCTCGATAAAAAAATTAGATGGTTATATCATAAAATTAGCAACAAATAAATCCAAGCATTATAGTAAACTATATTTCGAACAATCAAGTTAATAGTTGTAGAAGATATAAAAATAGTCGGAAACGAATATTTTTTACTGAAGAAAATGTCACTCAAATCTTTTTTTCTTTTTAAGGGCCAAGAGTTTCTCGAATATGGCACATGGACAGACAGTCCAAAGACGAATCCCGATGCGATGCTCGATTGGAGCAAAGTCACAAAGTATAGCGGTATTCTCCAGCTCTACCGTGATCTTATCAAATTTCGTCGCAACAAAGAGAAGAATACTCGAGGTCTTATGGGTCAAAACATTCATGTCTTCCACACAAATGAGCAAGCTAAAGTGATAGCTTATCATCGTTCGATGGAAGGTGGTCGAGGAGATGATGTGATCATTGTGGCCAACTTCTCAGCTCAATCATTTGATTCATATACGATTGGGTTTCCAAGTTCAGGAACGTGGAAACTTCGCTTTAATTCCGATTGGAAAGGCTATTGCGAAGATTTTACAGACATAGGATACGATACCACAGCACATGAAGGCGAATATGATGGTTTCTCGTGTCAAGGCAATGTTGGCTTGGGTCCTTACAGTTTGATTATTCTCTCGCAGTGATTGTTCATATTTTTTTGCTAACCTAGCACCAATAAAATGCAGACCAGAATTTGTATTAACCAGAAGGTAATTCGAAAACATAAAAATACGATTTTTTTTAGAATCGGAAAAATAAGCTCTCTACGCGCACATTAAGTTGTGCACCATGAGGGTGAGAGAATAGATGCCTTCCATGAGACTAAGGTCTTTCTGCTCTACCGAGCGTCGCCAGGTGGTTTTACGCTGAATATATGTTAATAGAATAGTTTATCAAATACTAAACATATTCGTTGTAGGATAAGATCCGAGGTTATCAATAGTATCGTATGAGAGTTTCTCCTTGCATTGTAATATTGTTTGCTAGTACGTCTTTTATGAATGGAAGTCGTATTAAATTGAATGTTCATCGAAATGGGTGTATTCACATATGTAACTCTTGCTATGTATTTTGGTGGTTTCTATTTTAATGTCATTTTATGGTTTGATATGTGCTTCAATGGGAGTATGATGGTTGTCGGACTATTCAGATAGAATCGAAAAAGGAAGAAGCTTTTTAATAGTGCATATGTGTTGAGCAACGATAATGCAGATGAAAATTTAATGGTTCAATGAGTAGAGTTAATTTTGATTGAAGAATAGAGTAAGAAAATGGAACATTCTATGCTGTTTTGATAATTGTGAAGGGTCTAGATGTCGGTATCTTGGTTAGGACTGGTGTTTGGAAGGATCATATCATGTCATATTGGTTAGTAATTCACCAGATGGTTTCTTTGGGATGAGCACTTGATTGGGTGATGAATTACTTCGGGCTCCCATAAGAAGGCAAATATGGTTCAGTGGTGATTTATTGAAAGAAAAATGTTTGTTCCAGAGTTTTCGAAATTCGTTTTTGAATTGTAGAAGCTGACCGCTTTCGAAAGTATAATGAAAGAGGAATTTTCGCGCTTCTCGTGCTTGCTTTGTTGCGTTTCTGTCCATGTTGTCCGCCATGTCTTGTCCATTGTGTGACACGACTTTTTCGCCGATGTTGACAGCTGTTGATTAATCTTTAGCATTGCATCTGCAATCTTTTTTTTGTAGTTATCCTTCTTGTCGTGTTGTTTTGGTGATTGGTTTTTGATGCAAATGTTGGTGTTCCTCGTCAATCAATTGAGTATACACCAGCATGGCATTATGTTTTTCGAAGAATTATAGGAACTGTTTCGAAATAAAGGATGGTGGATATCCGTTGAGAAGTAATGCTATCTCAATATTAAGACGTTCTTTTTGGGATGTCTGAGCATCAGCACAGACACAAGCAGTACGTAGTAAAGCTGTATATAGAGTATTTCGATGCATATCTCGTGGATGATCGGATAAATATGGAAAGCATAGGATCCTGCTGTTGGCTTACGAAAAACCGATGTTTTCAATCGACCATGATCATTTTCTACTAGAGCATCGAGCAATTCAACAGATTGGCCAATAGAGCATGTAATTTGAATGTTTGGATTCTTTTGACCTTGTTGATCAAGCAATTGTTTGATCTCCCAATGGACATGTTCGATGTCATAAAGATATCATCAATGTGTCTATAACATAGAGAAAATGTATGGAAAATTGAAAATTATTGAAAACATACTGGCCATACAGTTCATTATTGGCACGTTGATTGTCGATTAAGGACTGTTTCCATTCGAACATATAGATATTAGCCAAAGTCAATGCAAAAGGTGAACACATAGCACTACTTCGAATTTGTTTATAATATTCATTGTTATAGACGAAACAATTAGTATCCAATACAAAAAAGAGCTAAACGAAGAATGGTATCGACAGTTAAATTACTAATTTTGCAATTCTTTGAATGTTTTAAATAAAATCGACCTAGGGCTGCTAAAGCACTGTCTCGTGGAATCATCTTATAGAGATTGTTCACGTCGAAGGTAATAAATCGTGTTGTTGTTAAAAGACGACGACTTTCTTCATATTGTTCCAATGGTTGCGCCACGTAGAGAAGCAACAATAGATCGTAAAAGTGTATCAGCCTTTGAAGAGCATAAACAAATATTTAAAGTCATCTCTACTGTCATCATGAGATACTACTCACTTTGTGTAGCTTTGGTAGAAATTATAAATGTCCTAATTCGATTTTTGATTAATTTTTGGGTATATTTTATCGTATTGACTTTTAGTGATCAATAGTTTCGGAGCCTAGTGGAATCCATCAAGTAATGAGGTAACTTGTTGCAAATTATCAGCTAATGGACTGATATCAGAAGTAATCTCTTGATAAACATTTTTGTTCGTCATACATTCGACTGCTGTTCGTTCATAATCATTTCGACTACGGAGACGAAACACTCTGCTTATGTTGGGTCTTCGTAAAATAAGATTTGGATGGTTACGTAAGCAACGTCTTATGCCCATCATAAGTTTTTATTTACGTTTCGCAAGAACATACAGTTTTCTTGGTAATTTGGTAGTATAGAGACGTTGTAGAAGACTTTTCAAATCTACTAAAAAAATCTTTCACTCGTTTTTTAGATATGGGTATACAATAATTGCAAATATAGTAGTCCAATTTTTCGACTATACATTGGTATTCTTCTTCGATAATGATTGTGATGGGTTGACGAGAAAATCGACTTTGACATGGTAGTACATATTCTGGAACACGAGCAAGAAGAGCCAATTGCTCATATCTGAGCAATGATGCGACTTCAATGATAGTCGAGGATGGAAGAATATCAGTGTTTGTTTCCAGTTTATAGCACCGACGATGCCAATGTGGTCGACGACCGTCGGAGCGATGGAAGAAAAAAAGACTTTCTTCGTTTGGTAATATATTTAGCCCGTGTTTGCAGATGAGAGTTTGGGTGTATATGTGGGTGAGAGGGTGTGGGTGTAGTTCTCGGGTTTTGGTGGATGTGGATGTGGATGAAAAGAAAGTCAGTACCTACATTCCTACCCACATCCCGCATCGGCATTCACAGTTACACCCACCCCCAAAAATCTTCAAGATGATATGGGTGTCAATATAGTTTCTGACGCAAGATTTGACGTACATTAGGGTGCTGGTACAAGTTTGGGTGGCTGTACTCCAGGCCTCGAAAGGGGCCATTTTTTCATGGCTCGGCCCGGCCCGAAGTCCACTTTGCTGAGAGTGTGGGTGTGGATGTGGATGTAAATATAGAGAAAACAACCACCCACACCCAAGAAAAAAAAACTTTATCATTTATTTCTAGTACACCCATAAACACGTAGAACAACAAGTTCAATTTCATCTTGATATTTATTTTTCTTATTAATATATTTTCTTTTATATTAAAGATTCGCTGGTTTGAAAAACAAATGAATTATAAGCCGATCATTTGTTTTTATGATAAAACTGAACAAACGAAAACACGACTTGTACAAATAATAAAATTCTTATTTGTATAGATAACTGATGATGAAAATTTGATGATTATTTATTTTGACTTTTCATTTTATTATTATAAAGATGAATTTTAAACAACAAAAGGTTGACATAAAAAGTTGACAATGCTCTTAATAAATCAGATAATCACTTAAAAATCACTAAACATTTCTGTAAGTTTTGTATATTTTGTTCGAACATGAGTTCAGAGTTTATTTATCAATTACATTAACCGAGAATAGATTAAAGAAAACAGAGCAAGAAGAATGACATCTGCATAATATATATGCAGATATCATGTAAGGAAAGGAAAAAACCTATACATGGTGCACATGGACAGAATGGAAAAATACTACTATTGTATGTTCTATAACTTGTAGGGAAATATCCAATATGTGTATTGGAAAATACCAATATATACATATATATATATGAAACGCAACTAAAGATATTAGTATATCAGTCGAAAACAGTAATCTTTTTATCAATCGACGACAACATACTTGAATTAATTTTCACTTCACAGTTGGTATTAACTAATTAAAGTATCTCCTACTAAAAATGAAAAGTACATTGGCCATTATTCTATTTCTTATATTGTTTATTCAATTACAACAAATTCGTGGTGGTCCAGTTGCCGGTACAGCATGTTGTGCCGCTTGCTGTGCACCTACTTTGGCTGCCACTCCACTGGTTTCAGGTCTTTGTTTGGCCACCTGTACAGCGTCAATGGGTACAGTGCCATCATACTGCATATTTTGCATGCCTGCATTTCTTTCACCAATACCATAAATGATAATAAGTAACTGTACTCCTTATGCTTTTAAAGTGAAATAAAATAATTCAGATCTATTTTTATATCAGTTATTCTCTCTTTAAAAGATGGATGTGGGTGTGAGGGTGTGTCGGAAGAACTAGATGAATTCAAGCTTCATGCAACGCGTTTCGATTAGTTCATGGCTGATATGTTGGTGTGTTGTTTTTTCCTAAGTGATGCTGGAGCTTTGTTTCTTCGCATTATTTCATTTTCGAGTAGTTGTAGAGCATTAGCGAGTAAGAATGATATAATGCAGTATCTATCTAAACAGATAAGTTGAAAAGATTGAGGCCTTTTTCTGAGAGAAGTGGTGAAAATATTATGATTTGTGGTGAGAATTAATGTTTGGTTATAGTTTATTTGACTGTCGGTAATTAGAAAAAAAAATAGTTTGAAAAATGTTTATAGCGGCATTTTTAATCTTTTCTCAGATCGTCGCTTTAATTGTAAAGACATGGATGTGTAGAAGCTACCACAACACGTTTCGACTGATTCTCAGTCAGTCTCATCAGATGGCCTCGGACGTCTAGTTTCATTTAAAAAAGAATTTTAAAGTAAACTCAAAAATAAATCAATAGGAGACAATTTTACTCAGTCGAAAAAAAGATCAACTTATTTCTTGACGAAGAAAAAAAAAGAATTCTGCTAATCTCAATTTTGCTTTTCAGCCATTGATAAAAATCGAAAATAAAATAATAAATATGCTTGAATTTAGAATAATTAAAAGAAGATACAGAGGGTTATATTTCGCCGATGCGTTTCGTGTTATTTAGTCAATGAATAAAACACTCTTCGGAGCTCTACGTTAAATTAGATTATTCAAGCATAGGTAAAATAAAAGATGAAAATAAAAATAAATATAGAACGAATAATGGAGTGAAATGAAAGTAGAAAAGAGAATAGGGGATTAGTATTCTACACAAATTCACCTTCCTAAGTATTTATGTAGAGTAAGAAAATGTAGAATGGTTTTTAATCTACGTAGTCAATAATCAAATCAATATGATTCCATACGGATGACATTGATGTGTGTGAGTTTGGAAAAAATATGAAGTACACCTCCTACCCCATAGACCGAAACTGAGTCGAGGACTCGGTAAATCGACTCGACTCTTCAGACACCTCAAATAATATTTTTCTCGAGTGATACCAGTAAGAGTGTGGGATGTAGGCGTGAGTGATTTATGCGTGTGAGCATTATTGTGAAGATGCTTACACCCACACCCTACATAGATAGAATAGTAGACAAAGGAGATAGATAATGGTAAGAGGTACTAGAGAGCTGTGTCTATACTAACATATAATCAACATATTGGTAACAATGATACTTGGAAACAGCAACGGCTTATACATGCATATATGTTGGATGTCCTGTAATTTTGAAACACTCTGTAGTTTATGGTCAATAAAATAAATGAAATGGTCGATAGAATGAATAAATGGTCAGTAAAAAATGAACAATCAGTAACTTATTAATAAGGTCAGTTTTGAAAATAGTTCAGTTTTCAATATATTAAAAAATCAGTTCATTCAAATGAAGATTAATTATAAAGACCGAAATGTCTTATAGTGTTACCCTCATCCATCCTCAATTCAACAAGGCCATGCCTTAATTAATTCAAAAATATTTGTTACAGAATCAACAGTATCTTTAGAATTATGAACTTTATCATTTCAATGGGCTCTTTCAATAAAAAACGTAATTTACCTTCCAAATAATGCTTCTAGAACTCCATATACAAGCACGTCGGTTTGTGCATTTGTTTGAAATATTCTAAACCACCACCAGCTAAACAGTGTCGATCGCTGAGAAAACCAAAAAAGGTAGATCAGCAAAGGCTAGACCTATTTTACTAGTGCAAATTTCTATTTAATGATCTGTTGGGTGTCTTATTTAAATTTACTTTTCTTATAGTAAATTAATCTTTATACGAATAAACTTATCTCTTCTACTGATAAAATCTGCATTTTCACTAATCCAATTTGAATTTTTTTCTGCTACTTATATATGAAAAACTGATCGTTTTATAATTAATGACTGACCATTGTACAACTGACAATTTAAGAGATGGTCCATCGCCCACTCGAGAAATTCTGTCATTCATAAATTTTGGCCTAACTGTTTTTATGATCGTAAATGAAAGAGCATGAAAAGAAACTTTTAGATTCTAAATTCTAGTCGTGTCTGAGGGTGAGTGGGTGGCTACTGTGGGTGCCAGTGTAGTTCTGAACATCTATACCCACACTCTCTAAGATCATAATTGTTTTTTCATACGTCTACCGTCTTCACCGTTGTTATAAACTTGCATGTGTAAAATACTAGAGTGCTCTGCGTAAGACCAATCCAGTCAAACAAGTTCAATTATTAGCAAATGGTTCTGACCACTAGCTCGAAATTTTGAAGAAATAAAAACTTCATTGGCTTTCTCATGCGAAGCTATACCTACGAATCTCGATACTTGTAGTTTATTCTAAGTAAATCTATTTATGCATAAAAGTTCAGAGCAAAGCTCTTCATTTTGCTTTTTTTTCCGAAATGGATAGGTCTCAATAAGAAATTGAGTAAAGTACAACAGCAATAAGTCTACACTAGTAGGCCAGGGAGTCGACTATTTCGAGTTTTTTTCTTACCTCAATATAACCTAATGCGTGAATAAAAAGGAAGCTAGATATCTCGGTGATTTCTATCGAATAGATTTTTATCTTACGATTCATAAGAATGGTTTTATATTTGTTTCGATAGATTTTCATGTCACTCGCAGACATTGATTAGTCTTGATATCGATCATAAATTAATGTTGTACGTTAATATTTAAGATCAGTAAAAAACATGTCTCAAATGTGTGAAAGAGATATTGGAAAAACAACTCTGATTTATGCATTGGCTAATTATCTTATTTATAATTTCCTTGATGAAGTTATTCATAACAAATTACAGGAAATTATACCTACATAGTCTGTATATAGAAATACTAACACATTTAAAAAAAAAGAATAATAATTGGTACACAAAATAAAAGTGAACCGCAAGGTTTTATAGATGATTCATGTACAAAAGAATGTCGAAATTTTGTATTTCGAATTAATAATAGAAAATTATGTTTAATTAATGTACCAAAAATCAATAATACACTATGTCATTTATAAGATAAAACCAATTTTGAAGATATACTTGCTAATATAACTCGATTTGAATATGTAAATGGATTATGTATGTTACTAAAATCACATAACGAAAAATCAAATATTTTTATTCGTTTTTATATCAAGAAATTACTTAGACATTTACATGTTCATGCTAAAGAGACTGATTTTCATCTTGGTTCACTAGCTTCGTTTCTTACAGAACGTCTTTTCAGTTTTCAACTCCAATCGTATATTGAAGTACCATTTTTAAGAGAAAATGAATTTTTATTCGATAATGAAGCATTTTGATTTTTGGCATTATGTAAAAATGAAATTGAGTTTAGTCTTGAAGAGTGAGAAAAATATAGTAAAAGTTGGGATTACACTGCTCAAGAATTTAGTCATCTTATATCTCATATAATTAAATGAAAGAAATGTGCTACTTGTGATACATGTTCGCTTAATGAAGTACTACAATTAATTCGAACATTTTTAAAATCCATTGGTGAAATCGTTACACTCATTCAAGAAAATCTTCAATTAAGTGAACAACATAGAAAGAATGTTAATTCAAATAGTACTTCGACATCGAAAGTTTTGACACAAAAAGATGCAGAAATCATGCCATTGAAAAATCCACAAACAATATGTACTAATGATAAACGTACTAAGGTAGTTATAATCGATGGTCAAGAAAAACTTGATTATTTAAATCAGTGTCATCCAAATGCTTAAGATAATTTATCATGTAAGTTACACTCGTTGTTTTTAAAAAGATTTTCATGCTAAAAAATCATAGAAATCGAACGTAGAGTTTTTGAATCTCATAAAAATGTAATTAAACTGACAATTTTATTCATCATTCACGTTTTATAATGCTAACAAAAGTCATTAATGAATTTGTCTTCGTTACAGTTCTGTAAGGTAGCACTAGGGCAAAAATGTTAAGTTAGGATACGAAATAGACTCAGTTTGCAGGACTCTGATCTCAATAGCCTTGCGCTTGTGTCGATATATGGAATGTTCTGTTATATAAGAAGATATCATATTATGCATATAGTATGAAACAATTTTTATAGATAGATTTGCTGTTATTCACTGTTTCAATAGAAGTTTTTTTTATTAAAATTTTTCTCTTCAAGATCATTTGAAGATGAACTTATGCGATTAATTATAATTATATTGTAAGCGACTAATTTAGTCAATAGATCAGAATTATTTTGTTTCATTAAATGATAAACTATCGTTCATAAATAACGAGGAAAAATCTTCTTCATCATTGATGAAAGATTTAATAAATATTCTTTAAATAAGCACCAACATGATTTCGATATAATTACATTTTTTTTGTGGTATTCATTGTTTTAATTATGATATTTATTAATGATTAATAACCTAAACGTAATGCATTTAAAAGAAACATAAATACTATAGATTACAATTTAAGATTCATTTGATTTTAAAATCTAATTGATTTGAGAATCAGAACGATTCGAAGACTGAATCTTCAATCTGATCAACTCTGGATTCAAAAAGATCTGTTTTAAGTACATTACGCATTCGCTTTTCAATTTATAAGAAATACAGTTCTTTTATGTAAGGTGTTTCTAAAGCACATCATGATCTTAGATTATTAATCAGTGGAAAATCTGAAGTTTAAAACAAGAATATAATACTGAATTAGTCCTTCTAATTATTATTATAAGCAATTATTCTTCAAAACGAACGATACTGTTTTCCTAGTATTAATAAATTATAATAGAATTTATACTGAAGATATTCTCATCAAAAAGAAGAAAAAAAAAGTAGATGATATTTTAGTTCGTTTTCCAAGAATATCAAATTTTGC